CATAAATTTGAGAAGAAACATAAAAGAAAAGTGGAAAGAGTGATATCTGAATAACAGATTAATGAATCACAATATTTATGATGCCAAATAAACATCTGTGATAGGCTTTTTCGACAAATTCAATCTGTTGATTCAGTAGAGTCTTGAAATAATATAAATGTTTCATATCTTCTGCAAAATTTTTGATTTGATGGATTGGTTTTACTGAATTAATTGTTTTAACTAGGGGATGCTACATCAAAGTCAAATAGATTTTGTCACAAACATCTACCTGTTCTTCTCTTGTTTATATTATTTATTTGAAAATGCAAAATTTTTTTAGTTAAGTGTAGGAATAGCAGATCTTTTATTTTAATTTATCATGACAAAAACGTGAAATATGAGTTTTATCACTAGTAAGCTGCCTTCCATGCAGCTCCAATCACAGTCCCAAAACGTTCTGCCTTTTCTGCTGACAACTTTATTCGTTTATTAACCTTTTTATTTTCTGATTTTTTATGTTGTTGAATTCTTGATCTCTGTCTAGTTGTATGATAATTAGATTTACTATAAACATCAGCACGTTGTTGAAAACGATGACGATGTTCGGAAAACCCGTGCCCATTTCGTAATTTTTATATGAACCTGATTCGGTAAACTCGCATCCATTATGTGATTCATTCTATTTCTCCAATATTACAGACGAGACTATCTTTTATCCATTCCATGTGAAGATGATTCAAGCGCTCTTTTAGCATTAGCCCAAAGATTTTCAAATACTTTTATCTCTTCAATAGCAGCCTCGTTCTCTTGAAAATCGTCTTCTAACTCTTCCTGATCATCATTTTCATTGTCATAACTTTTGACACTTTTCTTCTGGGCGGATAATTTATCTGTTGATGTTTGTTCTACACCACTTATTTGTCTTTCACGCTTCAGTCGGCCAAAAAAAGATCGAATTTGACTTTCATTCAAAATCTCGTTAGCTGAAAAATAGAATTTGTTATTTTCTTTCAAGGTTTCCATATCTGACACAACCTCTTTCGGTTTCCAATGGTTCCCATTTAAAATACCCTCATTAAATTTTCTCTTAAGATATTCTCGCTGTTTATCAGAAAATTTTGTATTCGATTTGTGCACTGATAAAGCCCAACCTTTCGGAAGAGGAGTTGTCTCAGCATCGACTACGTCCACTAAATTCATATCAATCGATATGATTCGTCGATTTTCGACTTCTTCTAATTTCGAATGATACATTTTCATTGCTGTATCTTTCATTGAAAGCTTTTCAACTACACATCGATGTTTACCAATGATTATATGGTTCATGTAGTTTCCAAATTTTACAAATTCTGCTACGCAGCCTGGCTCAACATCACATTCATATATATTCTTTTGTTTATTACAGGTTTGTGATGATTGCTCCTCTTGTATGTCGCACTCGTCTACATCCATAGTTTCATCACGATGTCTCTCTTTTGTCTCTACCCATTCATGAGTAAAATCTTCAATGCATCTTGATGTCAAATCAAGAATATCCTGATCTCGATTCAACTGCAACCACGGTATCAAAAGACCGGAACCTATGTTCCATGAACGGTGTACTAAGAGACCTTTACTCTGATACTCGAAATTATAATAGTTCGTTATCTGCTTGATAGTACACCTCTTACTTTTTTAAAATTCATTATTTTCAATTCGGCAGTCAAGTGCAAAAGCACCTTTGACCCCTTTGTATGAGTGACATGCTTCGACAAACTCAGAAGCAGTTGTCACATTGTGATTTTCATTCGTATATCTACGATTATGTGACTTAAGTACGGCAGCAAAACGATCACTAGAACCTTTATTGGCCTGTGGATCACCAAAATCAATTCGCTTGATTGCTATACCAGTCTTTTCAGATATATGCTTGGCTGACACAAGTGTGTTTGCCGAATGATAACAACCTGCGTTATCTGATCGGATAAATGCATTTTTTATCTGTGGATCAGTTTCTTTGACGCGGCATAAAACGTCATTCAAGATAGCAACGATTGTGTCACTATCCTGTGTACACTGATCAAAAACATGTACAAAAACTTTATATTTAAAAGAATGTTTCTTTTTCTTATCAATGACACCATTGTCATCGTTGTTTTCTCCAGACAGATCAGTCATTTCGTGCTCACTGATTTGCTGACTATCGTCTAAGACATCAGTGTCTTCATCGAATATGCTATTCTCGTCTTCAGCACTTGCATCATTTTTCATTACAACAGTAATATGCCAACTGATGCCTCGTTTACCAAAAAATTCTGATTGTGGCTCTCGACTTTTAATAGGAAGAAACTTCATGGCCCAATCAAGATTGAGATAAATCTCATCGTTAGATAGTTTATCGAGTAAATTTTCTCGACATAAATCTTGATTAATGGATCTTAATAAATGAGCCTTCCATGCTTCAATAGCTTCACGATATGACCGAAACTTTTTTAAAGTTCGATGTAATAGTTCTTCGTCCTCTTCTGTTTCTTCTAGAAGTCGTTCAATTTCATTTAGAGTTCTCGTTAGATTTGAGCATTCAGCACAGGATTCATTGTGCTCATGATCACAATCTTGAGCAAAATCACGTTTTTCTGGATCGCTCAACGCATAAACGCAACAATGATCAGCAATATTGCTCGATCTCGCTACGTGCACTTTATAATCAGATTTTAAATAAAATCGAGCACGTTTCAAATTCTCAATAAGTCGAGCACTATCATTATGTAGTGCGACTTTATCTTCAATCATTTTTCGTATGCCGTCAAATGCCTCTCCAGCTTCAGCTGCAAAGTAATTTATACCTTGTAAAGACTTTCTTGTTGACGCTTTACAAGCATCGAGAATAGTAAACAGACTACTTTTGCCAAGTGGTTCAAAATCTGAACACATCTCTTCACAATAAAGAAGATACTGATCGATAATACGAGTCGGTCCCATATTTCTTATCGTGTTTGGAATGAAAAGTTCAATTCCAGACGATAACTTCAACACTTTTTCACCAAAGGGCATATCTGTGCACACATGAGGTGAAATAATAAAATCAAGAAAGTGAGCGACTTGATGATCATCAAACCGTTGGACAACTTTTGTTGTTTCTTCAACTCTGGAACCGAGACTATATTTTTTAGCATGCAAACGTGCTGCAGTAAATCTGCCACTAGTTAAACCTGGTATGAATAACTGAATGAGTTTTAACGTTATTTTCGGTGCAACAATTGAGAGAATCTCTCGTCTTGATTGCCAAGATTCAGAATTATGATATGCTTCTGAAACGCCACTCATTATTTGACGAAAATTTCCGTCTAAAACAATATTGGACTCTTCATTATTCAGATCATCGATTGTGTCCTGCATGTAGATATCAGCATCATTCTGTGCTAGCACAGATGTAACTGATTTGAATATAAATTTGGCTATACCAATATATCTCAACTTGACACGATGTGACAAATCCTTATAAGACGTTGTCACATGGACTTTTCTTTTACTGCTACAAGCAGCAAGAAAACTGTTCAAAGCTGCTATTTGTTCTTTCAACTTTTCTTCATCAATGGAAGGATCATAAGGTGGTTCATAATCAAGATCTTTATCTTGCATAGAATCTTCTTCACAACATACTGAATCTGGATCGAAAAGACACTCAAAAGCATCGTTATGAAGTCCTTCTCTTGATGCTTCCGTTTTCTTTGAAACTTCCGTTCGACAGTGACGACAAATAAATTTTCCATATGAATTTCTCAAGTGGAAAACTTCGAATAACGTGATAGCTTGAGACGCAGTGACGTTTCTCAGGTCCGCCGTCGCATACGACGATGTTTCTCTGACATTTAAACAACAATTACATTTAGTGTACCCTTTTCGAAAATAAAAGTGTTGTAACAATGAATTACAATGAACCTCACAAACGAAAACGATATCGGTATTAAATTTGTGCTGAAAAAACAAATCAGCTCTTAGAAGCATCACTTCTAAAGCAGTTTCAGCATCACGAAAACAGCTTTTTGTTACTACCTGATTTTTCAGTTTCGACATAGTCGTCCAAGTTGACTTAGCGGAACAAACAATTTCATCACAAGAACCAGCAAAAAAAACATTTTTCGCTAGTCATTTCTGAAAAATAGATTATCACTTACTTATTAATCAAGGAAAATAATCGTTTATAAATGCTCTTTATATACGATGAATAATAACGGTAAATTTTTTACGCGTTTGTGTATATAGGAAAGTATCGTTATAAAATGATTACGTGATTTACGAACATATACAGAAAGAAAAACGCATCGAACGCACATGGCTAGGGAGAATTTTTTCTTCCTTTCGATTTTTCTATTAATCAGTATATCCATTGCGTCACATATGTTCAGACAGTAAATTCAAGTCAAAAGAAAAGAAAAACTTAGTTCAATTGATTCGTGTACGGAATTCATACGTATTCTCACAGGTCATTATGACAACTCATATTAGCTACGTGATTTTACCTTCATTAATTACAATAAGTGTTCATTCTTTAGTTTAAATAGGACATATACGCGTTGGAATATATCCTACCTATCTGCAAAATATTTTAGATACTTCGTAAACAACTCAAGCATCTATATTTTATTAGGAAAAATTCATTCAAAATAATTTTTTCTTAAAAATATTACCTAG